ATTGACGAAACAGAAAGGAGATGGGCAGACGGATAAGCAAATCGTCACTGAAATTCGGCGTTATGGCCAAAATGTACTAGAAATCCACTTGAGTTGCCGTATGCGAACAAGAATAGGCGTCCACAGTCTGCAGACGACTCGCGAAGGGAATGCCTGATATCTGCAAACATAATAATCAGAGCTTAGCCGCTCTGCTTAGTAAAGCGGTAGTGTACTTGCTTCTAGGGCCTTGCGAAATAGCGCCTGGAGTGAAATGCACACTGGGACTGGAACCGAGTAAAATCCGTGAACCAGAAAGATAAGGAATGGACTCGAGGATTTATTAATTAGACTAATTCTTAACGTATGTTGGAATGTGGGAAGTGGAGTTGAATACGAGGTTCCAGCACTGGGGAGATATGAGATTGCACAATCGTTGAAGAGAAAATAAGTCCAGATGTTTACTTTTACTTTGTATTTTGGCGAATTCTAGCTATGCTAAGAATGGTATCATCCAAAGCAAGCCTTTCATTTTTACTATTCGTTGCTGTATCCCAAGCAAGTTGAGAAAAAGAGATCAGGCCAACACCAAAAATTTTTGAGACGTAAAGGCCACAATCAATGGCCACTCAGATAAAATGGATAAATATAGAGATAGCCATATAATGCATTTGAGAATGCGTGGAAGACTGAAAATAATTTGTATTTCTGAGGAAATAATTTATGTACAAATAGGCTTCAAAAATGGATAAAGAAATTTAACTTAAATAGTGATTAAGCGTAGATAAGAGACGTGGCCTCTATTTTGGTCGCTGTATCATTTCGATGTATAGTAATCATTTGAGCTTATTTTCGCGACTTGGCCATATTAGCAAGAAAACCTAGAGGAACGCACTTTGGAATATACTAAATCCACAGCCTGACTGGAAATTATCATGTATATTTAACCTCTGGACAAGGTTCATTCCTTTAGATCCCCTTGTTACTATGACGTCGCGAAAACAAGGTCAAATGACCATTGAATAGTGATTATTGATAAACAAAAATATAAAACATGAAAAACGGAGATAATGTCGTATGAAAAATGGGGATATATGGCAAGCAAAGCTGTATCAAAAAGCGTCTTGAAATTTTTATTTGTCTGAGATGAGCTGCTCTTTTGGGGAAGAACTGCCACGCTTGGTTAGTAAATGCCAGAAATTTTCTTGCAAATAAATCCCATTGTCGAACTCCTTCAGCAGAAACCTCTCAAGAATAATATCATCTAGATTCATGCAGTCATTTATTTTGTCACCCATCGGCTCCCGAAATCCTATCTGCCCTGATTGGAAAAAGGATCGACAAAAGGTCAGCACGTGAGAAAGAACATCTAGTTCCGGCTGCTCGTTAAGTAAGGCGGCCCGAATAAGCTTGTAATCTGTCCAAATGGCATTCCAGAGTCGGCGTGCAAACAAGCGTCGTGCATGTGCGTACAATTCCATGTCCATCCTATTGACTGTTTGAATCATGTCATGTTCCTTTGCAGATATCTGATGTATAATGCGATCAACGTGAGT